CGCCGGTCGAATCAGATATCTCTCTTTTGTTTTGACAGAAAGTGTACTCAAACAGATCATTCAAGTACACGCATAGAGAATCCAATAGATGTTCAAGGAATACATGACGAGAACTAGACATGTCTGAGTGGTGGTTGGGTGATAATGTACAAGGGGACGGTATCATGTACAGAATGTAGGTAGATGGGGTGGAAGGGGGGGTACAGTTATCGTGTCTGAGCTGCAGTGGAGTGAATGAGGAGTTTGGCTATGTACACATAAGGGAAAAGGGGGAAGTCCAACAAAAGTTCAATCAATCAGAGCGCAAAAATGAATCGTAGTACAACGACGATTTGTAAATGAGAAAGATATAAATGTTGATAGCAAAGAGGGCGAGAATAACCATGATGGCGAAAATGAGCTTCACGACTGCAAAGACAAGCCCAGCGAACTCATGGACTTTCTGAGCGTGAAAAACGGAGTGGATAGCATAGATAAGGCCGGGTGCACGTGTAGCCCATCGATTCAAATCAATGGCTCCAAGTTCAATTGAGGGCTTGATAAGAATATGGTCCCCATTAGCATAACGAAAAGCCTTCAGAAACAGTCTGTCAGTGATCCCGTAAAATGAACATCCAACATACAATTTCTGGACGGAACACATATTTTGGGAAACCATCTACAAAAGCGGGCTCATCTTCGGGTTGAGGTACAGCGATGAGATGACCTTTCCCATCAATCCGCCAGAAATGAGCGCGTTCAGCGGTCACACCTACCCCAACAACGCACAAGAGGTTTGAGTTGAACCCTAGATGTTTGACAGAGCCATCCTCGAGATGCACCGAAGCAGAATAGGTAAATGAATCCTAGGATGCATGGTCAATTTGACGTCATAGACGATTACGAATCACCTACCTTGTTTCCTGTACGGCAATACAGGTGAATAACACCATCCCGACAACCGAAGGCGAATGCACCATTTACATCGGCGCCAATAGGAATCCAGGCAAGGGCTGTAACCAGTCCATTGGATGGGTTGATGGCCTGATGCAGACCGCGCTTCAAGTTCCAAACAATGACTTTGTCACCCGCTGACGGTAGCGTTAGATATGGTAAAGGAATGAAGATAGCCACATACCTGCGCTCAACAAGAAAGAGCCATCGTTGCTGAGATTGAGGAATCTGACTTTCGACGTATGTCGAACGAGTTTCTCCTTGGAGCGTACAATGGGATTGCAATCTGTTGTGGGATTCATTATTGGTGGGTGTCGATTGTTAGAATAGGTTTGAGAATCACCGATTTTTGAGCAGCTTGGAAACAACCGGCCCCATGGCTCCATACCAAGCGGGACATCCGAACGGCGAGCTTGTAGTGACTGTAAAAACAATGGGATTGTTGCCGCGACATGCATACAACCAGGGTACAGGCTACATCAGACAATTAACATCTTTGTTTTTTGACAGTTTCGGTTACTTACCCATTGAAAGGGAACTTATATCTTATGCCAAAATTGGTTCATCTTTTGTCTCTTATTTGTTTCGTTCTTTATTCATCCTCGACGCTCCCCCACCCGCACTACACTACCTAGATCTACATTTTGGATGAGAGGTGAGTGGGAAAAGGGAAAAGAAAACTTTCAAATGCAAACTGAGTATATGTATTCAGCTCTTTCGGGCAGGCTGTCGTCACAACCACATGCGGAAGAAAAGGAGTTAGCCGAGTGGGCTCAGCCCGCCCTAAAGTACTGACGTCCAAATACGGGACATCCACTCATCCGTCCCTCTTTCCACTCCACTACCACTCATCCCTAGTACCAAACACCTCATAAATACAATGTGTTATGTAGACTATATAGAGCATTACATATGAATGGAGCAACAAAAAAAAGACATTCCGGCATGACAGCACAGCATCCTTGTTGCGCCTTGACTGCCTTTCTTGTTGAATGGAGAAACAAAAAGAAAGACGGAGTGTTGGCATGACAGAACTGTAGACTGTCCGTTGCCAGTGCCTGCCTTTTTTGTTTTTCGGGTAGCAATGAAAGGCAGGCCTCTTTTCTTCATAGTTCAACATAATTACCTTTTCGTCATTTTTTTTTACAGACAAACCTCGTAACCTCGTAAGCCGACAATGAATGCCATTCTTCCCTTGGTGAGTGCAACATTTGAAGCAGGATTTTGCTGATCGAAGAATTCTCCTTAGTATGATTGTAAACTCACTCTGTTTCGCCATACCAAACCGATCAATGTTGTGAAAGTCAGTCCTGATGGCCGAAAGCTTTTGAGCGGCGGTAAGTGGAGACGGTTCCTTCAAAAACTTCTATTCATTTTTCTGCACATTCAGCGGATGATGGTATGCTCATCATTTGGAATTTGGAGGACGGTTCTGAGGAACAAACCATCTCCGTCGCGTTCAACAGGCCTGTCACGTCGGCGGTGTGGATTTCGAACCCTCAAGGAACACCCAATCAGGCGTTCGCATTTGGCACAGCAGATGGGAATCTCTTTGTATATGCATATCACACGGTTCGTTGAACAATTCATCCAGTCGGCTTCTTGCTAACAATTGGACAGAATTACTATGATTTCGCTTTCTCAGCAGTCGCTCACAACGGAGTGATCAAAGATATAGCATTTGATGCACATCACAAACGCCTCGCTACCACCGGAAACGGATGCATGAAACTTTGGGAGATAGACGAAAAATGTAAAGTCCCTTTTCAGCCCCTATGATATCGCCGACTTACCTGGGTCCAGTTGTAGCTCGGAACTCCGTCACCACCCCCCCCGAAATCATCCATCTCTCGCTGTGTTTCTTTTCTCGACGAGGGGCGTGATATCCTTGTCGGTTATTTGGACTCTCATGAAGTGTACGCGCCCTGAAGCTATCTTTCTGCGACGTTGACATGTTTACTGGAATATAGCGTTCGTTATCAGGTTTCCCCGTGGATGATGAAGTGGAGCTACCAGCTCCCGACTCGCATGTATGTCTTGCTTATTACCATCTTGCTTTGTCTTGCTTATTACCCTGCTTCAGTGGTCATTGTATCATTGGCGATGACGGCCACTCTCTCATTGTGTCGAACTTGAGAGATGGCATTGACCTCTATTCCTTGCCACCGAGTCAGCCTCTACGCACTTTCAAACACAATATTATTCGCAATGTTCCATTATTGTTCTCCTCAGCCCTCAATGGAAGGATGACTATTGTTGGCAGCGATGACGGTTGTGCGAGGATGTATGATCCTCACATGGGGATGATGACTGGTGTACTTCAGCACGGAAATGGTGAGTCCTTCACTCAAAAAATTTGATTTGACTCATCCTACATCCTAGCTGGGACATTGGTACAGGCTGTCGATGTGTGTTATTCCTTAGCAGTTAGCCCTGGAGCTGAACACTGACTCCTGAAGGCCCACTCACACCGAAATTTCTGCATCCTAGTAACGGGGACATCCGACAGTGATGATATAAAGATCAAGGTTTGGATCCCCCGAGGCGTACGTCGCATTCGGTATACTGCCCATCTTCTGCTGATCTTCCACTTTCAAAGGCCAACACACAACCTCCCGCATTCGAGTACTTGGGACTTCTGAAATACTTCTTTGTCGCCATCGTCACTTTGTACCTGCACTATCAATTCATTAACCTTCGAAGGATTTAATATTAGATTGTAGTTCCTACGAAATATATTGTTTTCTGCTCGGACCGTAGATTAGCTATTTACATCTACAATTTTCGGTAAGTTCATGCCAGCCTGTCAGTCACCTGCAAAAACCCATTATCCAATAGAGCGTCCAAATCGTCGGCATGAAGAATGCCAGGGGTATACTCAAAGAATGGATGATGACGACGCGGATCTAAAACCTGTGGCAAGTATGGTTGTCACAGCCAAAACCTTTGTAGAGGTAACTTTACATACGTAGAGCTGACTGTCGACCGCTAATTCTGTTTTCAACTTGCAGAGGTTGATATTGCCCGCCAAGTCACGACGAAAGAGAATTTCTTGTAGATAGTGCCATGCTTTGGCATCTTTGTAGAGGCGGATGCGTAGTGAAGGGGTTAAGGCCGAAGGTAGGGTTTCAGTTTCATCGAGTTCCATTAGCGAGCTGATATACTTGAGAGTTTCAAAACACTTCTGGTTTGGTTGCTCTCACCTTGCCGCCAAATCCCCTTCTTCAACTAAAGTGCCTGCAGGTTGCGAATGGGGCTCAGGTTCCATCACCTCGTTCACCTCAAAGGATTGAGGGCCTGCTTCCTTTCCCGCGAAAGGCCCATCGGTTGACATTTCAATTTCTACATCCTGCGTCATGCGCTGCCAATGCTTGGTCCCGCTGATCAATGACCAATTCAGTTATAGGGCAGTGGTTTACTTACGAAGAAATGCAAAGCCTGAATATAGTCGGCCTTCATCGGTACATTGGATCGGAGCCCAGTGTTCACTACGAAGATTCCCTTCTTCTCACAAAGTTCCTGTAGGACTGCTTTTGGAAACGGGTTATACACAGTACGAGCAACAGTGTCTCGCTGATAAACCTTTTCAGCATTTGCGATCGTTAACGGTGACATGTTAAACGTTGAGCGACTTTGCGTTCGGGAAACGTCTTTTCAGAACAAGGATTATTGCTTTGTACTCGTTTTGACAAAAAAACGACAATGCAGGGTTGCCTAAGTGACAGCAACATTGTATAAAGGCCAGTTGAATTTGAGGTATGTTCCCTTGTACTTTCTAATGCCCTGTATCTGCAGTCGTACTCCAGTTAGGGGTCATCGCGTCCAGCGACACTTCTCGCCGCTCACAACCCGAGCCACATTCAGTCCAGAACGGCTCCTTAGCCCACCGCCAGGCACTCTGAAGAAAACATTTCCTCTCATTGAGTCCGTATCCGAAGCCAATGCCAAGGAAAGCAGTGAGGAGATTTGCTCACAACTCGGTATCAGCGAGGCGGAACACTCCAACATTCAGGTTTGTCCTTGTCTATTGTTGCGTCGTGGCCTTTTTGATATTCCTGATAGGACTTCTTGCGTGATCTCATCACCAACCACCTCAAGTTAAAAGTGAGCTATTCAAAACAGATGGGTTCTGCTGTCAGAACAGTCTTCTCAAAGGTTTGTCGTAAATGGCTTGCAATTTTGCTGCCATCGCTTATGTGCATCAGGCCAAGGAACAGTATCCCTGCTTTGAAAGTCAGGACGAGACACTTGAGAGCATGCTGAAGCAGCAGCTGAAGAAGGCCAGTAAGGTACGCAATATGAGATTTCTCTTGGACTTTCATCACTGAGTGTCGATGAAAGGCCTGAGCACCCCGCTCATTGGAACCACTCATGGGGCACTCAGAATTAGTCTACTTCTTATTTTCACTGTGTTGAATGATATTGAGCGGCTACATATCTTGAAAGTTATTCTTCATATGGTTTGGAATATATCTGCTTCACAAATTGTGTCAAATGCTTTAACTATGCCGGCGCTACAAACTCAGTTTCTTATCCTTCCTATGTTGACAACTCACGTGTTGAAAATGTCACAATACTTTAGTTTAGGACATTTTTACAATACTAGACAGCATTTGTCAGACGTTCATAGCAACGCATCTTATTTAGGAGATGTTTGTTCTACAAATGTAAGATTTGTGTGCAACAATATGATGGCTGTGCAATTCCGTCATCAAACGTAGAATTTGAGAGCAAATATGTCCGGGGAACACCGGTTTTGGTCTATCCTCAAGTTTTTAGTCCCTATGTTTACACATATGTGGCCCTTCATATCCGTCGCTGTCTGAAGTGTCTCTTCCCACCACCACCCACACCCGTGCCGCCTCGTCACCACCACCACCACCAGTCGCCGCCACCACTCACAACCGCCCATAGCCGCCACCGTACGCCATCCACAACGCCCACTGACCAACGCCACGTCACCACGATCACCCGTGGCCACCACCAGCATCAAGAACGACGCGAGAACACCACGTCACGAACAAACGAGCCCCCAGCGAGGCCGAGGCGATGAAAACGGACGACGAGGGATGTCCGAGAGGGTGCCACGTCACTGATAGCGACGTGGCAACCAAACGACGAACGACGACGTCGTCGTTCGTCGTCATACAAAAGTGAGTGCGCCCCCCCTCTTCCATACCAACCCACCC